AGGGTAATGTCTTCGACTAGATACGATTTGTGATCTTTTGACGTATCGTTGAAAGAAATCCGTTCGGTGAGAGCTGAGAAAAAGTGGTAACAGACACAAAAAAAAAAATAAACACATCTTAGTAAAAATAATACCTTCTCAGCTTCGCATCGAAGCTAAAAAAAAATTTCGGATTTTATTTTGTCTTCATGGTGAAAATAGCTACCGTATTCAAAAATATGCTATTTTTGTGTTAAAATTCTTGGTTTTGTATTTTATTTTATTTTAAGGGGATTACACTGATTTTCATAAATATTATATCTATCTAATTGACATAGTATAAAAAGTTAAACATATTTAATTTTTTTTGTTTCTTTGATGTCGAGAAAAATAACTTTAAAATTTGAACTAACTAAATTTCCATTTTTATTAAGTGACAAATGCGACGTATGGTTTCTGAGACGATAACACTTGGGTCTTTCATGCCTGTGGCACTGAATTTTTTCTTAATTTTTTTTGAGTTAGAAAAAAATGTTTAACTCGTTTGAATATTTATTAAATATTAAATATTAAATATTAAATTTCGATGCTCTAAGTATAACTAAACTTTGTAAAACAATGTAATTAATGGCTTTTTGTGTTTAATACTTTAAATCATTTTTAATTTAAATTGGTTTTCTATGACTCACTGATTTCTTGGTATAGTAATTATTGTTGTAATAAGTATTAGTTTTTATATAAGCACTAACATTTTTAATATTAAATTTATGTATTATGTGAATAATATAGAATTATAATAAGCTTAGCAGTTTTTATCATCTAAACGAAAAATTAAAAAAAATAAATATTATTTGATTAAGATCTTTTTTCTTGTTTCTGAATAGTTATAATTATATTTTTTATTTAATAGTTATTATAATTTTTATAAGCCTCGAGCCCTGATAATAAGAGTAACAGATTGAGTCACATTGAATATATTACACATAATATCCGAAATGGATAGATTATGTTTTAAACAAATATAATATATATATAAGTAATTATTCGAGAGAGTAAAATTAAGTTTGAGCGACTTTGATACTATATATCTGAAGTATGACCCGATAGGCTTACATTATATGTAACATAAGTCTATAATATATAACTTTTAGTCAATGTATTATAAAAAAAGTTAATTGATTTTCAAACATTTGAAAATATGAATATTAGTTTTAAGATATATTAATAATGAGTAAGCTTGTGATATTAGCGTTAAAAAGTTACCATAAAAAAAAAATTGTCTATGAAAACATAGACTTTATAATTTAAAATTGCAAAACAGTTATGGACATATTTAAAAAAATTTCAAATTTATTTCTTAAAATATGTGTCATATTTACAGGAACTGTTCTAGATAATATAGTTTTTTCCTTAAATCATGAAATATTGATAACAGGCCGTGATTTCTTCACAAATCACTTTCTCTGATAAAATAAAACAAAACTGTACAGCAGGTAAATATAACTTACTAATATATATTCAAACGAATGTATCATTACAGAAGAAAACTTTCCTGACAAATCTGATCAATTATATTAAACGATATTGGTTATTTTAAAGTTGGATTATTATAAATATTAGATATTTATTGACCACATGATTGTTATTTTGAAGATATTGGCGATTTTGAACTAAAAATATGCAGGAAAAACTTAATGAATCAGTAAAAAATTTAGAAGCATCAGCTTTAGAAGTTAAAACCTACATAGAAAATATAATAAGGAAATACCACATGTAAATAATTAAATACTCACATAATTTAAAATTAAACCGATCAGATATATGATTGTATATAACTGATCCTACATAAAAATGAAAAAAAAATTGTTTTCAAATATTTTTTATTCAATACATAATGAGTATTAAAAACAAATAAAATTAACCTAGCACCGGAAAAGAACTTGAAAAAAATTAACGGATACGTGTATTTCGTAAACTATACAAACACTAACAGTCAGTATCTCTTTGGCCGTGGCGAAGAAAACATTGTTTTCAAAATACTGGTGTCCGCTGTTTTTTCCAAGTACTTTTCGTTGTATTGGATTAATTTTAAATAATTAGAAACAAGTATTCAACTATAAATTTTTAGGATTTAATTTAATTATAATTATATTATGAGTATTTGAAATTTTATATAAAAATGTACTTGCAGAATTTTGTTAAAGTATATGTAATATTCATGGTCAGTTTTTCAGTTTTCTGCATTAATCATTGGCATTTCAATGAAATTTTGGAAAAAAAAACGTTGTTTGATATCAACCCACCTCCTATTTTTTGGAATAATAGGATTGTGCGTGATTATGATTTATTCGATGTGGGAGAAGATAATATGATTACCGAAGAAAACTTCCAAGATAAGAGTGCTCAACTTTATAAAATGTTAACCGGAATTTATATTATTCGGCTAATAAATATATTGAAAATTTTAGAACATATGTGTATCGGCATTTGTGAAAAACTTGATAAGTTTGAATATGACAAAGGTGAAGAATCAGTAAAAGCAGGTTTTAATTGTTTTGAGGAATCGATTAATAAAGTTAGTATTAATATTAGCAAAAACAGTATTGTTCCAAATGTTGTAAATTTCATTATTAATGATATTGTTGAATTAAAAATCAACAAGGATCTCAATACTATAAAAAATATTGTTTCCACATATATTGAGAAGTGTTATCAGTATCTTAATAGTGAGTATTATATGTCAGAATATGAGGAATTAGATGATTATTATTATGCAATAAATAGAGCAACGTATGTCAATTCAGTGTCCAACAAAAGACAACTTCCATTGATAACGCTTCGTCTTTTGTTGGATTGCATGAAAAATATTTCACAAAAAATCTCAAAAGTTATAAATATTCTTTCTTAAGATAAAATAAGTAGTCTAAATAAACCAAATAATTTCTCTCTTATTCAGTTAAATCTTTATATTTATATCAATTATATAATAACTGATTGTATTAAAGATTTGTATGATAATATCAGTTAAAATGTCAAATTGTTTTATGAATAAAATTTCTTATCGAAATCAGTTAAATTTGTTTATTATGATTTTACCTTGTTTTATCAATTTAAGGTATACTAGAGTGGAAAGTATTAAATCAATTTTTGAGCTATTTTCTTTATAACATAATAGATCATTATTATATTAAGACTATAATGATAATTATACCCACTAAATCTAAAAATCATTTATATAAATTATTTTGATCAAATTTTTTTATAAAATTAACCTTGTATTTATTTAATTGTGGGATAATAATGCAAAACGTACTTTTTCTATTTCTATAAAATTTTACTTAAGTATACATATTTATTATAATTTGTACGCGGCATTGAATGGCGTGATTATTTTTTTATCGAAAT